TCTCACTGTTGTTTCAATTTGAAATTCTCTAATGAAAAATGCTTTGTCTTGAGGATCTTTTTATACGCTTATTTGCCATCTGTATATCTTCTTTGGTGAAGTGTCTGTTCAGCTCTTTTGTTCATTTTGTTCATTGGTTCATTTGTTTTCTTACTAAGTTTTTAGTTTTTTTTTTTTTTTTTTTTTGAGGCTCTATGACCCAGTGAGGCTCACCTGGGTGCTAGACAGCTTCCAGCTTCCAGGACCCAGGCCTTATTGGTAAGTTTTAAGAGACCTTTGTATATTTTGAACAAGTCCTTTATCAGACATGTGTTTTGCAAATATTTTCTTCCAGTCTATGCCCTTGTCTTGTGATTCTCTTAACAGTGTCTTTCACAGAGAAGTTTTAATTTTAATATAGTCCAACATATTGATTTTTTCTTTCACAAATCATGTTTTTGGTGCTGTATCTAAAAACTCATCATCAAACCAAAGATTACTTAGATTTAATCCTATGTCTTCTTCCAAAAGTTTTAGAGTTTTGCATTTTACCTTTAGGTATACTTCATTTTGATTAACTTTTGTGAAGGATATAAGTAAGGTCTGCGTCTAGGTTCATTTTTTTTGTATGTGGATATCCAGGTGTTCTATTACCATTTGTTGAAAAGATTATCCTTTCTTTGTTGAATTGCATTTACTCCTTTGTCAAAGATCAGTTGACATTTATGTTGGTCTACTTCTGGGCTCTCTGTTCTGTTCCACTGATTGATTGCTGTGTCTGTTCTTTCACCAATGCCACTCTGTCTTGATTACTATAGTTGTATAGTAAATCATGAAATCAAGATGTATGAGTCTTCTAATTTTGTTCTTCTTCCTCATTGTTGTGTTGACTACTTTGTACTTTGTGTCTTTTGCCTTCCCATATAAACTTTACAATCCTTGTGTTGATATCTACAAAATAGCTTGTTGGGATTTTGATTGATATTGAGTCTACAAACCAAGCTGGGAAGAACTGACATCTTAAAAAATGTAGTGCCCGGGCCGGGCACGGTGGCTCATGCCTGTAATCCTAGCTCTCTGGGAGGCCGAGGCGGGCGGATTGTTTGAGCTCAGGAGTTTGAAACCAGCCTGAGCAAGAGCGAGACCCCGTCTCTACTAAAAATAGAAAGAAATTAATCGGACAACTAAAAATATATAGAAAAAATTAGCCGGGCATGGTGGCGCATGCCTGTAGTCCCAGCTACTCGGGAGGCTGAGGCAGGAGGATCGCTTGAGCCCAGGAGTTTGAGGTTGCTGTGAGCTAGGCTAACGCCACGGCACTCACTCTAGCCAGGCAACAGAGTGAGACTCTGTCTCAAAAAAAAAAAAAAAAAAAATGTAGCGCCCCATTCTATGAACACAAAATATCTGTTTATTTCTTCTTTGATTTCTTTCATCAGAATTTTGTAGTTTTCTCAAATTTAATTTCCAACAAGGTAATCAATAAGCAAAATGATCTCTTAGAGGTCCTCAATAATTTTGATCCTAAGACCCAAATTTTGAGCACTGCTAGTCTTTATCTTCATCACTTCTTTTGGTTCTTAACTTTCTCACTGCTAATGTCAGATTCTTGCTTTTTGTGTTCCATTGGGACTCACCTGGTAAGCATTCTGCTCCTGCTTTTACCATTGCAACACTGTTGGAATTTCAACCTCCTCATTCACAAGTGATGAAACTAAAACAGATACAATGGCTAAAGTAATAGACATAAATTATAAGGACTGTATATAGACTTCCCTCCAGAGTGAAAAGGCAAAAAAAAAAAAAAAAAAACCCAAACAACAAACAAAAAACCCCAAACCCCAAAACAAAAAACCCACGAAAAGCAAAACAAACAAACAAAAAAAACCCAAACCCCACATTGGCTAAATCTAACCAATAATACTTCAGCCGAGTGATCAAGGTCAACCTCAACAAGTGCTAAGTTCTGTTGATAGCATGTATCATTGATATAATGTGATGAAAATGGCACTTTATTTCCATGGTTTTCTGCTCAAAAACCCATAATCTTAGTTTGATCATGAGGAAAATATCAAACAAATTTCAATAGAGGATCATCCTTCAATATGCCTGACCTCAAAATCGTCATGGTCATCAAAACTAAGGAAAGTCTGAGAAATTGTCACAGCCATGAGAAGCCTAAGAAGACATGATAATTAAACGTAGTAAGATCCTAGAACAGAAAAAGGACATTAGATAGAAAATAAGGAAATATGAATAAACTATGGAATTTAGTTAATAATGTATCATTATTGGTTCATTAATTGTAACAAATATACTTTACTAATGTAAGATGTTAATAATAGGAGAAGTTGTGTAGAAGTTGAGTATGTGAGAAATATCGATAGTATCAGTTCAATTTTTCTGTAAATTTAAAAGTGTTCTAAAAAATGTCTATTGGTTTTTAGAAAGTCTTGTATCTGAATAAACTTCACTTTACAAAAAATAGTTATGTAGCATCATTACATTTGGGTGATTAACGGTGAGGTATTTTTCTTGGGAGGTTCACAATTTCAAACATAAGTTTGAATTCTAGCTCTCACAAGCAATATTTTAAGATAATTTCCTCAGTTTTTCTTTTCATGATAAATATGTCTCAAGTTGGGAAGGCTTATACTTTCAAGGAATTTTAGTATTTAAATAAATGGAAAAGAAAACCAAGCAATGGGCTGGTTTTCTAAATTACATTATGCTAGTTTGTTTTGCAGTGGTGTTTCCATTTTTTCTCAGGTATGCCAGCCATATAATTATTACTAATGGTTTGTTACTTTTTTTTTTTTTTTTGGACATGGGGTCTCAGCTATTGTCCAAGCTAGACTGCAATGGCTATTCACAGATGTGATCATAGTGCAATGCACCCTTGAACTACTAGACTCAAGTGATCCTCTCACCGCAGCCTCCTGAGAAGCTGGGATTACAGGTGTGCATCATGTCATCTGGCTAAATGTTATATTTTTGTTTTCTAAAATTATTTCACTCATTCACCCAACATTTACTGAGTGCTTGTACAAAGGAAAGGAAGGGAAACTGATATTTATTCTTCAGTTCAACAAATATTCATTGAGGATACTTTGCAAAAAGCACTTTGCAAGAAGATTGGGATACAGTTTTAAACAAAATCTACATAGTCTTTGTTCTTGGTGAGTTTACCATTTAGTGGGAGAGCAAATCTTTAAACAATTACACAAATTACTCTAAAGTCTAAGACAAAAAGGAAAGGAATGTTACAAATGTGTCACTCATTATAGAAATAACTTTCAGTACCTTTTTAAACCTAATTATCACAATCACTGATGTGTTTTACATGCAAGGAAAATGAGACTGTAAGAGACTACATATGCTGAGGGTCTCAGACCAAGTCTTGAAATAGAATGTCTAATTTAGATCTATGTAATCCTAAAGATCATCCTTGAAAACACTGTATTATTGCCTGAGATTTATAAAACCAGGAGGGACAGACCTTTTGATTTTACTAATAAGAAAACTGATGCTGAGAGGAACAAGAATGCCAATCTCTTGAATAATTTGCTTATTTTTCTGCTATATTATAATGCTTCCTCAAAACAAGCTCTGTAACTTTGATAACACAAACATGTGAACCATACATGTAGGGAGTAAATAAATTTTTTATACTTTTAAAAATAAATTATAGGATTGTTGTGGAAACAAACTACCATTAATCAAAGTACTGTATTTTAACATAATGTTGGCAAATGTCCTACATCTCTCTTTTTCACTGACTTTGTTTTTCTATGCTAATCAAATATTTCACTGTTTTGGACAGGCCTATTGCTATGGGTGAGATCACAGGAGGAAATAGTTCTTTGAACAATCAGGCTGACTCTTAATCAAATTATTTTATGGAAGAAAGTTTCCAACAACAATTTTAATTTATATCATTCAGAATTTCACTGATTTTTTTCAGCTATTGCAGATTCTTCGGATGACTCCATCAATGTAATAGAATACCTTGAATTTTTCTTTGCAGAGGAAAAATTGACAACATATCCATCTTTATGTGGGGTGCAGATAGGGGAAAGAATTAAAAAAAACCACAAGTAATAGAAAAGGAAAGCAAGATTACTTTCATAAAAAAAACCTATAATAGGCTGGGCACTGTGGCTCACGCCTGTAATCCCCACACTTTGAGAAACGGGAGGATCACTTGACTTGAGCCCAGAGTTCAAGACCAGCCTGGGCGATAAATACAGTGAGACCCCCATCTCTACAAAAAATAAAAAATAAAAATTTTGGCCGGCTTCGTGGTCGGCCTATATTTCCAACAACTGGGGAGGTTGAGGTGGGAGGATGGCTTGAACCCAGGAGATGGAGGTTGCAGTGAGCTATGATCATGCCACTACACTCCAGCCTAGGCGACAGAGAGAGACTCCGTCTCTAAACAAACAAACAAACAAACACAAACAAAAAACCCCAACACCCGCAAAACCTATATAGCTCTGCTTAGAAGTCTTTTTGTTGTCAAATTGCTTGAGGCAAAAAAACAGGGATATGATATAGCAAGTAGAAAAAATATGAAAGAAACACATAAATAGTGTATGAAATATTCTTGGTAATAGATTTAGGACAGAACGAATTGCCCACACTCGAGCTCCAAGTTATCTTTCTGCTGGAGTCCCCGGTGATCACAACTTAAGCATATTTTCATAAAGAAATCATGGAAATGTTTAATAAAGATGACTTCCTTTTGCTTACTGTCATCCCTTTGCTTACGATGGAGCACGCAGTAACTACCTTCGTCGACTTTCTTGGGCTCCTCTCCTGGCTGCTTGGGGGCAGTAGTGCCACGGATGATATCACACCGACATGACGTCAGAGCCCTTGACGTCAGAAGGCGGTTGCCACGGGGACCGTTCGCCACCGACGGCAGAGTCGTGAAACTCCATCACCACTACACCGCTCGACTCCACTTCGGTTCTGTAGGGTCTAAGCTGCTAAAGAAGCTTTAACCTTAAGGGGGCCTCAGGGAGAGAGGAGTTGCGCCTCTGCCGTTGGGAGCTCCACCTCCGTGGTTCTCGGTCCTGGGCCCCGGCCTGTGGCGGCGAGCGGCGGCCACTGGAGGCAGGCGGCGGCGGCGACGGCAGGCGGCCCCGCCCGGGTGTCCCTCGCTTCGTACAGGGCCCGGAGACGGGAATCCGCCATATTGGAGCCGGAGCCGAAGGTGCCTTGGAGCCGCGGCGCGAGGGTGGAGGTGGCGGCCCTGGCCTGGATCGGGGAGGAGTCAGCTCTGCCCGGGCCCGCAAGGCTGGGGAGTGAATGAGCCGCTCGGGCTAGTCTCCTCCCCGCCCACTCCCTCCACTTTCCGCCGCCGGGATCCGACCGGGAGCTGGCTGTGGCGGCGTCAGCGGCAGGATGTTCTCCAAGAAGCCGCACGGGGACGTGAAGAAGTCTACCCAGAAGGTGCTAGACACCAAGAAGGACGCGCTGACCCGCCTCAAGCACCTGCGCATCGTCATCGGTGAGCAGGGAGGGGTGGCGGCGCTGAGGCCTGGGTGGCTCCCTCCCCTTGGGCTTCCCTGGGGACTCTCCCTCAGGACCTGGGGCGGTGCAGGAGTAGAGGGCAAAGCGTCTCCTCTGCAGAGACGCGGGAGGGCGGATAATTTGGGGAAGGGAAAACTTGGCAGTTGGCAAACACTAACTACCATTAACACAGGGATATCTAATTTTGAGTTAATAGTCCGAACTCGTTTTTAAACATTAGTATCATTTAAAAACTTAGATCTTTCGGAGTTTGGGGAGTCTTGGTGTTGTGAATAATGGTGTTTGTAGGACATGTTTGCCAGATGACTGCTGCCATCTCCACCCAAGTGAAAAGAAAAACAAAATCCTCTCAGACAATATAAACCTTACTCTTTCAAGTTTCTTGGCAGATGAGCGCAAGGAGGAAGCAGTTATACCTCTTTGGGAAGTGGGTGGTTCCCAAAAAGCTTGTGTGAAAAAGCCCCTCCCTTCTGTTAACGCACCTTATTCATCATCACTGTCATTTAGAGGGAGAACTATTAATTATAGAAAGCAAATTTATGGCTTCCTTTGCTTCTCGAGAATTGTGTAGAATTCTATTTTTATTGAATTAAAATTTTCTTACCGCCTGCTGCCTTCAAGTTCTGTTTTGCTGGCAGACCAAACAGTGTTCTGAGTTTTAGGTATAATGTTAAATGAATCTTTTAGATACTTGGGTCATTTAGTAGGCTGATAAGGGCTGTAATAATACTTACGGAACATCTGGTCCAGTGCTTGGATTTTTTAGATGAGGAAATTTCAGGTGAAAAGGAAAGTTAGTTTGCCCATGTTAAAACATACAGTTAATGGTAGAACTGGACTTAGAAACCAGGTGCCTGAATCCTTCAGAGTTAATTATCTCAAGCTGTGTTTCTAATTTGTTTTGGAAAGTGACGTTTATTTAGTGATACAAGTTCTTTATTTGAGGTGCTTGTTTCTTTATTATGTTATTTACCACCAGGATATCCAACATTTGTATGGTGCTTTAATGTTTACAAAGTGATTTCAAATAAATTATCGTAATTAATCCTTGCAATGACTTTAGAGGTAGATATTACTACCCTCTATTTTTTACAAATAAATTTGGGAATGTTAAAAGTGGTCAGCCAGCTACTGGAAGGCTGGGTCAGAACTGGAGCCCAGATTTCATGTCTCCAATTTGTTTTCTCAGTCTTCCTACATTTATGAAAGCTAATCTTTATCACAAGTAAATTATATTTATTCCTGTGGAATAGAAAAAAAGGAATTCATCCAGTTTAGCAATAGAAAAATAAGCTCAATTTTCAAGAAAATATAAAATCTTCTAAATATAGTAGAGATTCTGACCTTTTTGTTTTCATTCTACTTGAGAGTTAAGTCATTGAAGAAAAGATTTGGCTGAGAGAGTGGGACATAGAAAGTTAGGTGTGGAATGTAGGAAATGTATCACAGATAATGACAGTTTGAAATTGAACACTTAATGGAACTTGACACCTACTAGGGACAAGCTGTTAGTTGGGTAATGGCAGAGCTATAAAGTTAAGTTCCAATAGAGTATTGAGATTTCCTAAATTAATGCCATAGTTCTTTAGTTATGGAATGGTTAAAGAATGGTTTGTATGTACTTCTTTGGCATAGAGATTTTTTTCCATCTGGGAGACATGGAAAATTAAAAGATAAATTGAAAGGTCACACATGTAAGATATTTTATAGGGCCTAGCCTTCCTCAGTTTGAAACAAAACAATTTTAAAAAAGGAAAAAAAACCCAACCTTTTGCATTTTAGTAATTTACAGACTTTTTTTAAAAATGGAGCATGTACTGGGGGGCACGTGCATGTGTATGCAAACATTTAAAATACCCTTAAGAACCTTCAAATGGTGAACATTCTGCTTTCAGACTCCCTGCACTAGGAGTGGAGGAGGACCATACAGAAAGACTACACTTTAGAATTTTAGAATAGTAGTTCTCAACTAGGGACATTTTGCCCCATAGGAGACAATTGGCAATATCTGGAGATATTTTTTGTAATTGAGGAAAGGTTCTACTGGCATCTAATGGGTATCAGGGATGCTGCTAAACATTTACAATGCACAGGATAATCCCTCACACTGATATTCTAGCCCTAAATATTACTAATGCTGAGGTTTAGGAACCTCATGAAAGCAGAGTAAAAGATGGTCCTCCAAGATCCTATACTTGATTTTATGTATTAATTAAATTGAATGAAGTATTTTGTATCTTTAAATGGTGTAGTTATTTTTTTTGAGATATAGTTAATATAATTTATAAGAAAATGAGTGGGAAAGTAGAATGACAAAAGCTAAATAGTGTCTTAGAGGTCTGCCAGTCAAATATTTGATTTTGCAGATGGAAGAGCCACTTTAAATCCTTTTTGGAAGTAGGTGTGGGTTTTAAATAAGGTAAACAGACAATGAGGAAACTATTTAGTTTGTGTAGTAATTGGGCATTGCAAATTACACAGGATTTTGATTTTTGTTTGGTCCTGTATAGTTCATAGGGGACTAAACGAAACTGCCATTCACTTAGGGTACTTATGGGAGAATTCATTGCATCCAAATATATGAGAACATAATCATAATTTAAACATGTAGTGTAAACTTTTTTCCCGACCTGTCTTCCCCATTGTAGGGTAATTCCAGTTAAACTTATAAAACTCAACTCTGAGGATTTAGATTTAAATCTGTTATGTTTATTAATATTGCTACATATTTGATTTGTAGAAACTGTAAGTCAGGGCTTTTTTTTTTTTTTTTCTTGAGACAGAGGCTTGCTCTGTTGCCTGGGCTAGAGTGCCGTGGCATCAGGCTAGCTCACAGCAACCTCAGACTCCAGGGCTCAAGCAATCCTTCTGCCTCAGCCTCCCGAGTAGCTGGGACTATAGGCATGCGCCACCATGCCCAGCTAATTTTTTCTATATATTTGTAGTTGTCCAGCTAATTTCTTTCTGTTTTTAGTAGAGGCGGGGTCTCACTCTTGCTCAAGCTGGTCTTGAACTCCTGACCTTGAGCCATGCTCCTGCCTCGGCCTCCCAGAATGCTAGGAGGGCTTTCTTAAAATAGAAAATAAAAGCCTTGTCTCTAAAGCTGTTGTCCTTTTTATCTCCCCTACCCCCCATTTTACAACTAACAGCCTTAAGATAATGATAGTAAATTAGCACATGTAAAGTGGCTGACATAATGCATGGCATATAGTGGATATTGACTAAATGTTAGTTTTCTTCTACTTTAAAATAGCAAGCTAACAGTTAAGTCCTCTTGATATAAAAATAAAAAGATAAGTGCTTATTTAGCTAAAAATATGTTGATTATTAGATTGTTCTAACATTTATTGAGATATAATTCGCATATAATTAGCACATATTTAAAGTATATAATAAAATAATTTTTACATACATAAATCTCATGAAACCATCATAACAAGATTAAAAATATCCAATCAAGATAACAAACATAGGCAATCAAGATAATGAATATATCTATAACCTCCTAGAGTTTCCTCTTGCCCCTTTGTTAATCCCTTCTTCCCACCCCTACATGAAACTTCCTACCTTTTCCTGAGCAACTACTAATCTGCTGTCACTCCAGTTTGTATCATCTGTATAAATGAAATTATACAGTATATAAGTGGAATTATGCAGTACAGTTGTTTGTTTCTTTTTTTTTTAAGAGACAAAGAGTTTCTCTGTGGCCCAGGCCAGAGTGCAGTGGCATGATGATAGCTCACTGTAACCTCGAATTCCCAGGCTCAAGTGATCCTCCTGCCTCAGCCTCCCCAGTAGCTGGCACTACAGGAGTTCCCTACTATGCCTGGCTGATTTTTTTTTTTTTTTTTTGGTAGAGACAAGGGGGTCTTGCTATATTGCCCGTGCCAGTTTTGAACTCCTGGCCTCAAGTGATCCTCCCAAAGTGCTGGGATTACAGGTGTGAGCCACCCAGCTACAGTCCAGTTTTTTTGTTTGTTTGTTTAGTTTCTTTTACTCAGTCTCATTATTTTGAAATTTAATATATTGTGTGTGCTTTGTCAGTAGTTCATTGCTTTTCATTGCTCAGTAGAGTTTCCATTATATGCTGTACTGCAATTCGTTTATCCATTTACCTGTTGATGGACATGTGGGTTGTTTTGGGCTGTTACAATTAAAGCTGCTGTGAAAGACATATGCTTTCTTTTCTCTTGGATAACTACCTAGGAGGGAAATGGCTGGATCATGTGCCAGTTACATTTAAGCTGCCAAATTGTATTTCACCATTTTACGATCTCACCATCATTCTCGTTCCTCCACATATGTACCAACACCACTCAGCATAGCCAGATTTCTTAATTTCAGCTACTATAATAAGTGTATGCTGGTTATTAATTACTATTTCCCTGATATTTAATAACATTGAATGTCCTTTCATTGTGCTTATTTGCTTATAACTTCTTTGAAGTTTCTGTTCTAGTCTTTTCTCTATGTTTTGATTGAGTCTTTTGCTTTCTTATTCATTTTTGAAAGTTCTTTATATATTCTGGATACAAATTCTTTATCAGACACATAATTTGCAAAAATTTTTTTTTTTTCTCAGTCCTGGGGCTGTGTTTTCATTCTCTTAATATTTTCTTTGAAGGAATAGAATGCTTGATTTTGATTAAGTCCATAAATCAGTTTTTCTTTTATGCTTTGTGTTTTTTGCTGTTGTATCTAAATTTTTTGTCTAACCCATACTCACAAAGATTTTCTTCTTTGCCTTCTTCTAAAAGTTTTATAGTTTTAAAATCTATTTAGGTCTGTGATCGATCTTGAGTTGTAAACGTGGGATGAGGTGGATTGAAGTTTATGTTTTTGCAATATGGATGTCCAGTTGTTCCAGCACCATTTGTTGTAAGACTGTCCTTTCGCTACTGAATGCCTTTGTAATTTTGCCAAAACTTAGTTATCTAAATATGTGTGGGCCTATTTCTGGACTCTCTGTTTTGTTCC